GCCGGCCCCTTCCGGGGGTGACCCCGGCCTTGGGGGGGGGGGGGATTAGAGACGTCCCGGTTGAGTCATGGCAGTGCCATGCAGGGGGGAGGACATTGGCATCGGGGGGGTGCCCAGGCTGGAGACACAGCCCAGCTCCACGTGCGCTCACCCCTGGGGGCTTGAAGGGGGTGAACCCCCTCCCCAAAGCCAAGGGAAGAGGCTGGGGACCCCCAGGTAGCAGCAGGAGACAGGACCCCCCCAGCCCTGCCGTGGGGGGGTGGCAGGAGGACCCGGCGTGCCCGGGGAGCTCCGGAAAGGCCAGCCTTTCCGCCGGGAAATCCTTGGGGACGGGGAGGACAATGGGGCGGAGAAGGCACAGCCACACCGTGCCAAGCGGAGGAAGATGGTCCCCCACCCGCGGGGAGGCTGCCGGTGGCAGTTCTGGGGGACACACAAAGCACACAGGTAGCTGCCGCAGCCCCCAGCCCTTATCACCGCTCACTGGAGTAACGAGTTTGGGTCAGTTCTCAGCCCGGCCCGTCCTGCCCGCTGGGTGAGGAAGGGGGGGGACCACCCATTCCCCCTTGTCCCCATCCCACGGGTGCCGTTCCATGGCCGGGAGCCACGGGGAAGGGCTGAGCGCTGCGAGCCCGGGCAGGGCCGGGGCGGCTGACTCAAAGCCCAGGCGCAGGAGGAATGCGGGGGCCCCCAGGCAGCCCCCGCACCGGCATGTCGGGGCCCCCCGCGCCCGCCCGGCAATGGGCACCGCCGGCAGCACGGCTCCGGCTGAGTCAGAGCTGCAGGTGGGGTGGGGGGAACAGGAGGGGTTACAACATCGCTCCCAGAAGAGCCCCCAAAAGGGTTGTATTCCCCCCCCGGCCCAGGAATGCTGGGCTGGGGGTGGCAGCTGCATCCGCATCCCCCCCTCCTGGAAAGAGGGACCCATCAGATGCAAAAATGAAGTTGTTTCTTCCTGACTTTTTCCAGCCTGGCACAAAGGAATCTGCCCCCCCTTCTCCCCCCCACCCTGATTTCTGCTCCCACCCCACACACCTGAGGGACGTGGTGGGGGGCACCGTTGATTCAGGGCTGGAGGGAGAAATCAGGGGGGTCCTGCCACAGCCATAGTGGGGGCCCTTCCCCCCCTGCCTCTAAACCCCAGCAGGACCCACAGCCCTCGGGTGCTGCCCCATCATCAGTGTGGCTCCTGGGGACAGGGACACACATATGGCCCCTTGTCTGGGGGGGTGCCATGGCTGGGACCAGCCCCCAGCCTCCCCGGGTGGTCCCGGCTCCAAGAAAAGCCATTCCCGACCACCATGGAGTCCCCCACAGGTCCTGGGAGGGGGGGCTGGGGGGCGGTGGGAGCCAACCCAAGCCAAGCAGCTCCAGCATCTCGTTGCCTCCAGCCAAGACTTCCCAGCAGGGCAGCCCACCCGCAGGCTCTGCTCGTGGGGCCGGTCCACAGGACGGCGAGCCCCCCCACCACAGCAGGGGGAAGAGGACATGCAGAGGTGTCCCCCAGCCCACGCATGCCCCGAGGTGCCATGGGGAGCCTGGCTAAATCCATGCCCAGGAGCTCCCACCCTGGAGAGGCCAGGACCAGTTTGTGGCACTGGTCCCACTGGCTGGGGTTGGATGGGGGGGGGACGGACATAAGGAGATGGGTCTGACCCCAAACCTTGTGCTCTGATGGTCAAAGAGCAGCAAGAGGGGGAGGCTGGGGAGGGAGGGAGGCAGGAATGCGAGGTTGTGCCCCGTCCTCATCCTCCCCAGTAAACCGAGGCAGGGGGAGGACACACAGGGGTGCGGGGGCTCCCAGCCAGCAATGGCTGAACTGGGAAAGGTGGTTGCAGGATGGTCTTGGCACCAGGGCACTGACTGCCCCAAAATGTGGTCACTCCCAGCACGGGAGAGGTGTGAGGAGGATGGAGAAGGGGGATCAGACCCGATGGTGTGCTGGGGTCAGCAATAGGGGGGCTCACAAACACCACCCTTCCCCCTAAATCCCCCTTCAGGGAGCAGCTGGGCAGCAAGAGCAGCACCTCATCCATCTCCCGACACGCTGGAGGGGTGACAAGCACCGAGGGGCAGGAGGGTGGGTGGCTCTGGCACAGCACCCCATCCCCCCTCATCCCCACAGGCAGCACCCAGCTCAGGGCTATAGGGACACCCCCCCCCCAGGGTTGCACACCCCAAATCTCTCCCCACGCCGAGGCTGGAGCAAGCTCAGGGTTTGAGAGCTCAGCTCCACGATGGGGCTAGGTAGGGGGGGGGCACATCCAGCCCCTAACAACCCCCTCAGACCCCCAAAGGTGGACACTGAGGGGTCACCCCAGCATAGCCCACCCCTGCTCCAGTATTATTGCTCTGCCAAACCACCCACCACCCCCCCAACACCCCCCCAGGGGAGCTACATTTGCAATGGGGGGGGCCTGTGATCAATCCTCCCCCCCAGGAGGCCTGAGCAGGCAAATCTGCTGATGCCTGTGCGGGAAAAGAGACGGGAGAGGAGGAGAGAGGGCTCCTCGAAGCAGCGAGGGATGGATGGACAGACGGATGACCCCCTGGACGCCAGCCCCGCCACGGCACATCCGTCCCCCCGCCGCCTGCCAAGGAGCCGCAGCCCCACAGGACCCCGGCGGCTTTTGCCGGCCCCTGGCCAAGGCTCGGGGGGGAAACACGGCCAGGCCGGCTCTTGCAACCGGCAGAAAACCAGGCGAGGGGGAGGGAAAACTGGGAATTCAGCCGGCCAGGCTCTCCTCCTCCCCACCGGCCAGCTGGGAACAGCAGGACCCCCGAGCACCGGGCAGAGCACCGCCTCCCCCCCTCTCCAAGGGGGGAAACTGAGGCACACGGAGGGTTGGGGATGTGGGTGCTGCCTCCTGA